TGATACCGAATTGTGGGCAGAAGTTGGTGGTTTGGGATTGATTATGTGTACCATTAGCATTAGTGGCTGGAATAGCTGCAATGTGGGGTTAAGGCTAGTTGATGAAACCAACAACCCATTGCTACCTTACAGGAAAAAAGATAAGGCCCGGCATTCGGCTCATTTTTCGTTTGAGTCCCCAACGAAAAGCGCGGAGAACCTAACGTCGGTGACTTTTCATATGATAGCTAATTGTCAATATGCAAAGCTTCAAATTCGTCCCAGCGATGCCCTTAACGCAAATCCTAAGTATGCCGGCTTCGTTGGAATAAACGCCGCTTATTCTACGCATGATTCTCCTGCAGATGCTACTTGGAGTCATAAGCCCATTAGCACCATGACTGCTATGCCTCTGATACCAAATTACCAAGGCGGCGCGAATACTATCTTTACTTATTCCCAGTCGAGGATGCCTGACGACGATAAGCCCCCAGCAACGCACAAGGACAAGGCTAGCCCTTCACCTTTTTGAGGAGGACCACCCCAATAGCGACGACCAAGATCCAAATGTTATTCCCCACGAACTTTAACAGTTCGCCACCGGCCTTAAGTGCCAAGGAAACAACCGAACCCAGCAGCCCAGGTAAGCCGGCTGCCATCTTTTTTCCCAAGTCCGTCAAACCAGAACCTAGTTTTTTTACGCCTGCGCCCGTAGCCTTAAGCGCGGATATGATCACGCTTACTGCGACGCTAATAGCAACCGAAAATGCCAGCGGCACACCGTACTTTATCAGGGCCCTTTTTATTTTTTCCTTGGTGGTAAGTCCCAACTCTGTTTCCAGGTTGTCCCTTTGCGCCTGCAACTCCGCAATCCTTTCCTCTAAGGTTCCCACCAGCGCCCTGGCTGCCTCCCTTTCTCCGTCAGCGCGAGTATGATCGTCGATTATTTCCCGTTGCGTTTGTATTTGCCCTTCTAGGTCCTCTATGGCTTGCTCTCTTTGTCTTAATTGCTCCTCCTTAACGATGATTTCCGTGTTTAACCGCCGCTCTTGCATTACCGAGGCTTCCAGCTCCGCACCCACGCATCTAAGTTCGGAATTCCTATCTCCGATGTCCATGACTGCGCG